AGCGAATAATTTTTCAGTTGTTTATGTGAGAGTGTTTCAGTAGTGTATGTAAGAGCATTTCACATGTGTTTGTGAGAGGTAATTCTGAATAATGTCCCTGACGGCCCCTCATACCCCCATGCTTTCACATTGACACAGGTCTTTTCATGTAACGACCGTAAATAGGAATTATAATAGAACTATTTTCAGTTCTTTGGAACAGCTTTCACTTCATCATCTGTCTCCCTCAGTCTTAATCTTCATTATCACTCAATGCAAGAAAACTGAAGTACTTAAATTGATTCAATGCTCGAATGAGGTTAAGAAGTGAGCCGAGGCTGATTTAAATGTCGTGCGCTCCGTACCAGGCAGCAGAATGAACGGTGTGGTTATCAGATACAGTATTTTACCCAGAAAACCTTGTGTCAGGGCCATATCCAAGGCTCTTTTTATGTTTATGAAAAGAATCTGAGATGGATGCCTGCAGCCAATCTATGAATGTGTTGAGTAAACATTTACGCCAGATGTGAATGTTGTGTATTTTCCTATGAGGAAGAATGCATACCTGAGGTCAGCTACAGAAATAGCTGAGATTAGAGATTAAAAAGAGGAAATAGTTCTTTCCTTACAGTAAAATAGGGGGATTTTAGCCTCACCACCCCTCATTTATCTCTTTTTTACTGTGTCCATAGAGACCAAAAGTGGTACATTCACAGTCTGCCTCTGTCTTCACACTTTTTTCTTTCACTGTGATAATCACTGTGGCTACAAAACTGATGTCCACTCCTATTTTCTGGAAACAGTATTAATCAAAAAGGGGATTTCCCCAGGAGAACACACTGGTGTGCACACTCTGGAGCAACTTGTGCAAACATGTGCTCTGAGCTTTTCTGCCTATATGAAGCTAAGTCAACCTTACACTTTCAGAGACACAGAGACCCAACAGTACCACCATGAGCAAGCACTTGGCGACGGGGGCAAGGATAGTTAGCAACAGACAAATCAGCCTTGAGAGAAAATGATTAATTTATTAATTTAATTAATAAAATAAATAATGAACAGAACACAGGCTGAATTTGAGTATAATTGACAGTTTATTGTGCCATTTAATAGAAACTAAATAAGTCATTAAGGTGACTATTCTAAATCTACTATGAAGCCACCTGAAGGAAGGTGAGGAGTTACACACATGAAGATATAGTCTGTTTGAAGCAACTAAATATAATTTGTGTATCTATACACTTCAGTTTACTTTTCCAACAAAAAATAAAAAAGGGTCAAACAAAAGATTTAAATTTCCTGAAAAGCACTGTGGTCGGAAAACTGTTGCTCTACGACATCTAACTCACACACAGGCCATTTCAATCCTGTACTTAAAGGCTACCTACCGGCGCCCTATTGACGCAGAATCCAGGAAGAGCATGAAAGTGAACAGTCTCAATGCCCTTAAGATTATACAATCAAAAGGTAAGTAAACAAAATTATCACATTTCTTCTTGTGTCATAAATATCATATATTAACTCAAAACATCCCTCATACAGGTTTTCTTATTTAAATTCAATAACTCCCAATATGGCAATACAGTCATTCTATGAATTGAAGGACCTAGTTGGTCTGTTTCCTTATTTGACACATTTACAGGTAATGGATACTTGTATAAACTACCATAATAGTGTGTCTTAATCCTATAACAAAAGAATATAATAGCATATAATATAAACTTAATTTTGTAATCAAGTTTTAAAGTAAGA